ATTTTACCTTGAGTGCACTCTGATTGGCTAAGTACTTTCTGTTTAATATGACAGGGGGTCTGCCCGCCCGCCTCCTCCCCCCCCCCAGCTAGGAAGTTGGTAAGGTTAGGTAGGTTTCTTTGGTGGGTTGTCAGGTTCTATTAGGTTCCAGTAAATGTCACCTCTTTTATAATGATAAGAACATGAGGAAAACATGAACAAAATCGAACAACTCCTTCCGGTTAGGTATGTACGTACTATATAGCTACACAACAATCGACTCAAGGCAAAATAAATGCCAAATGCCGCCAGAGTCACAGTCACATATCATTCTCACGTAGTTCGACAGTAATGCATTATAGTAAGTGACACAGATACATCTGTGTCACTTACTATGATGCTTCATTCTTCACCAGCAGTGCTGGTAAGTGTTACTTTTTTACAATGAGTAATTACATGTACAATACACATCTATGGGTCAATAATTTTTTTTTTTTGTAGGAGGGGGGGAAGTGCCTCGATAAATCAGAATTTGGGATAACTCAGCATGGCCAGAGCCCCTTATGTGCTGAGTTATCAAGGACTTACTGTACTTTTTTGTGATTTTCCCTGACCCAAGGCTCCCCCCCCCTCCTTTGGGGATCTTCTCTGAAGTAATCGTGAGAGGAAGAAATGCTACAGAAAAAAAGTGTCTTAGAATTGTCTAAATTACCGATTCCAAAACTTAAAATTCTAAAAATTACTGGATGACCAAAATGATAATTTTACCGGTTAGGTTGAACTTTTAAAGAAGGCAGTGAATATTTTGCCGTGACCGACAAAGTTCCTACTAACACTATCTTATAGTTAGTGCGCTCTGATTGGCTAAGTGTACATTACTGGCAAACAACGCGAGAACGATATGTGACCGTGACTGGCGGCAGAGGTATGGTAGGTGACACAGAGGCATGGTAGGTGATGCATGTGGTCAGATATGCCAAGATTTTCCCAGATAATTTTATATATCTCGGCATTTCCCGAGTTATACTACAATATATTCCCAAGACCTTATCCGTGCCGAATACATGAAATTCCAGGTTATCAAATGCCGAGTTATCGAGGGTTTACTGTAGTAACTTGCGATAGGTATGAAGGTCAGAATAATCCAAAATCTAACCTAACCTAACCCAACCTTAAACCTTACCTTAAGATTTGGAAAACTTGGAGTTGGGGTCATCGGGGTCCCTCCTCGTCATCCACAGGGTGCACTGCCTGACTGCTGTTGCTCTGACTGTGCAGGGGGGGGGGTATACCGAGCTGTGATTGGTTGCTCCAAAATTATACCCACCAATCAACATCCAAATAACAACTGCGCATATACTTGACTCTAGCACATGTGGAATACAGCATACTAACCAACACACAAGCACACAGGAGTTCTCTGGGGCGGTGGAAACATAAAAAAAAAAAAAAAAAATTTAAATATACGACGATTTTCCAAAAATACCATAGAAGATAGGTGTCCGAGAATTTTCGAAACTATCGAGTCCAAAACTTAAAATCCTAAACATCGCTGGATGACCAAAACGGTAATAATACCACAGTAATTATTGATGACTGACCCACCACCGATTTTTCACAGGAAAATTATTATATAAACGCAACAATTTCACTGTGTTACATAGTGGACACTGTTGTAGTTTGTGCAAATGTGTTATGAAGTGGTTATTTCTAAATTAAACGTATTTAACCTAACAACGTAACCAAATAAAGCTACCTAGCTTCCTAGCCAGGGGGGGCAGTCCGGTATATTAAACAGAAAGAAATTACTGTGATTTGGTGAAATTTTACGTTTTTTGTGGAAGTGAGAGCAGCCGTCCCTACTGAACGGGTCTTAAGCATACACTGAGCATCAGCATCAAGCCCAGGCGGCCGAGTGTTTTTAAATACACCAATATACTAATTGGCTGTTTGCATCCTAGGATGAGAAGTCACCGCCGCATTACCACCGAGAAGACTAAGTATTGTGCACCTAATTATCTACCATAACGAAGCATTTGCACAAGAAATGATCATTATATCAGAACTCAATGTTGAAAATAAAGTAAGAAGTAAACAATAAAACAAATTACTCGTCCACAGGTCAGTTGTCAGTATATATTAATCAATTTCACTGAACCTAACCTTACCTTCAACTATACTAAACTAACCTAAATGAACCTAACTAAACCAAATTCCCCAAAAAGATTATCATAACAGAACACACTGATGAAAATATAGTAAGAATATACACAACAAAACAAATAACGCATCGGTGGTGTAGTGACTAGTTGTCAATTTTAAGAGATTGGTTAGTGACTAGAAAGCTTTTGACCACAGTTGGAGGTTGTACAAATCACCGAAATTCATGGAAAAACTTGGATAAAATCAGAATGTGAAAACTGCAATTCCTTTGCCCAAGTAAGGGTTAAGATTCATTTTATGCACTCGCCAATATCTCCTAGGACACACTATCTAGGGAGCCACGAATTACCCAAAAGTACCCAAATGTACCCAAAAGTACCCAAAAGTATAGCAAATAAGGGTAAAATCTTAACGAATATCTGTTATACATACACAAAACATGTTTAATAATATTTTTAGTGTAATTTTGTAAAAATAATTTGTAAGATGAAATAATAAACAGCGAAAAACTTTCAGTATTGGCGAACGCTAAATTCCAAAGAGTTCGTGAACAAGGGAGAAAAGTAAATCCTACGGCTATGTTAAATACCCCAAAGTAACAGAAACATCGGTAATTATATCTCATTTTGGATAGGTGACTCTTTAGAATTTAGCATTTTTTGCTGTTTATCATTTCATTATTTTGACTACATTTTTTTTTTTTACCCTTTTACACTTATGTTGTTCATACAAGTTCGGCATGGGGATTTTTTGGCCCCACATTACCTATCTAGGGTTAAGGTTAGGTTAGGTAAGGTAAACATTTTTCTGGTGTGTTTTTATGTGCTTTCTGCCAAATTTGACCTTTGCTTCCAGGGAAAACCAGTAGCTTTGGGGGGAATTTCAAAACTGTAATTTTCTTCAAAACTACCAGCTTCCCAAGGAAACAAAGGTCATTTTTTGAAGAAAGCACATAAAATACACCAGAAAATTTGTTTATTTAAAAATTGCGTTGGTGCATAAAACCTATCTTTACCCAAGTTTATTATTGAGGTAAGAAATAAGGTTTCTTGTATACTGTAACGTATAGAGTTTGTATAAGGCAACCACTTAACGTGCATCCCCGGTCCGACTAATTACCCAAATGTACCCAAATGTAGCCAAATATAGCCACAATGAAGTCAAATAATGGTCCTACATGAATAAATCGGATTGCTTATCACTTCTCGACTAGTATTTGGTGTCAGAAAGTCACAAAAAATTGGAAAACTTACTTTAATCTGAGTTAATAGATCGCGTGCATATACCGAGGGAGCGAGGAATTACCCAAATGTAGCCGCAATGAGGTCAAATGATGGTCGTACAAGCGTAATTCGGGCTGTGAATCACTTCTCGATTATTATTTGGTGTCACAAAGTCAAAAAAAATTGGTAAACTTAATTTAATCTGAGTTGTGTTGTGTTAGGTTAAGTTAGGTTAGGTACATGCACTTGATCTATTAACTCAGATTAAATTAAGTTTACCAATTTTTTGTGACTTCGTGACACCAAATACTAGTCGAGGTTAGGTTAGGTTAGGTTAGGTACATGCACTCGATCTATTAACTCAGATTAAATTAAGTTTACCAATTTTTTGTGACTTTGTGACACCAAATACTAGTCGAGAAGTGATTGGCAGTCCGATTTATTCATCTAGGACCATTACTTGACTTCATTGCGACTACATTTGGGTACATTTGGGTAATTCCTCGCTCCCTCGGTACATGCACGCGATCTATTAACTCAGATTAAAGTAAGTTTTCCAATTTTTTGTGACTTTCTGACACCAAATACTAGTCAAGAAGTGATTAGCAGTCCGATTTATTCATGTAGGACCATTATTTGACTTCATTGCGGCTATATTTGGCTACATTTGGGTACATTTGGGTAATTAGTCGGACCCTGCATCCATGCTCTAGAAATATTGCAGCCCATGTAAACAGCTGAAGCGCAAATAATGACTTGAGGTCGCACTGAACATTTTTATTACAAAGAATGACTTTGGAAAAAAACATAGGAAATTCCTCCACCTGGTTGCATTCTAATTGAAGTAGAATATGACTCCAATGTATGTGATCCACTGACCTATATATACTGCTAATGAATATGATGTATTTCCTTCTTTGTGTATGAACCTCTGTCCTGCATGGCAGTGAACACTGGCATTACCCACATGAATCTGACCTATATATAGTGTCAATGAATAAGATGCATTCTTTGTGTACGAACCTCTGTCCTGTATGGCAGTGAAGAGTGACTGTATCCACATGAATCTGACCGACGTATATGTATGTATGTGTGTATATGTGTATGTATGTGTGCATATGTGTATATATATATGTACATGTATATGTATGTATGTGTATGTGTGTGTACATACATGTACTGTCAATGAATATGATGCATCTCTTTGTGTACGAACCTCTGTCCTGCATGGCAGTGAACAGTGACATTACCCATGTGAATCTGACCTCTATACATTTATAGCTGTTAATGAATATGATGTATTTCTTTGTGTATGAACCTCTGTCCTGCGTGGCAGTGAGAAGTGATACCACCCTCAGTGTCAAGACCTGACTGAATTACTCAGAATAGGCAAACTGTACTACAAGCTTTGCCAATAAATTTGTTAAACTTAAAAAAAGAAGTACAAAATAAGTACCCGTATTCTAAAAGGTGACCAACTCCTTCAGTGTTATACTTAACGTGACGGGTAAAGATCACTTTACACCAAGAATTTTGTTAAGTCATTTAGTAAAGCATTCTTAAAAGGAATATATGATCAATAATGGTAATGGACCTTGGGCAACTACAGTATCAAAACAACCTCGTATGACTCACTTGGCCAGCTGATATTTCCTCATAGGTCCAGAAAACTGTGAGGGCAAACTTTTCGGAGTGAAAGTTGTGAACTCTTGGAACAATCTACGAGAAAGTGTTGTGACGGCACCGAGTGTAAGCTCTTTCAAGACAAGACTTGACCAACACTGGAGTGGGTTCAGGTACATTCAGGAGCTGGTGCATACCCAGTAATTGCCAACAGTGCGTAACAGAGACGTGACCGATAGCCCAAGCCGGTGAAGAGGATAACTGTCAAATGACTCATACTTCTACCTCACCTCATTTACCTCAGCACGACCTTGATAATAACATCACCATCCCAAAATGACTAACGAACTGCAAATAATCCAAAACTTTCAAGAGAACTTGTATTGTCATAAAAATGTCAATGTGAACTGTTACAGTAAGTGTTACTGCATGAAAATATTTACACTGTCAAACTAACTTCACCAACCTTCATCCACTTTGATCATCTCCCTTGTTTTTCTGGGTTTACGCATTTAATATTAACGGATTGTTGTTCGCATTAATATCTTTAAAAAAACTTATTACAAGTATTTACAATATAAGGAATGTTTACAGTTATCAACACTGATGACGTCATTCTAGTTATGGGTCGCCCACTGCTAATCTATATCATTAATCGCTAAATATTAATTTATACTGAACAGAGCCTGTACGTCTGTATATCCAGCACTTCTCTAACACCACGGCACCCAGTAGTTTTACTACATACATTTATGACCAAACTGAATGTGGTATCTTGTTTTCGATACTTTTTTTTGAAGGCGAAATGTATGAACACTTTATTATCATTTCACCACTTCTCAGCATGTTATCCACTGTTCGTGCTGTTGCTGTTGGTCTGTTCTTCGTTACTTTGTTTGACGTGTAGGGTTATGAGATGTTGGTTCACACTCAGGATGGGATGGAAAAAGGAAACTCACAATGTGCTCACTGTATACATATTGTATTGGATGTACAGTACAATGCAGCTTGTTGCTGGGTAGGCAGCATGGTAACAAACGTTGAGTAGAGAGAGCTTGTTGGTGAGGGTGCCAGAGGAGGGCACGCGGCTTGAGGTACGCCAAGGTGGCGAGGGTGCGGGAGCCGCCAGGCTGGCGCGGAGGAGGTGGTATTGTTTGCTGGTGGCACTGTGTAGAAAGAGACTGGTCACAGCGGTGTCAGGCCTTATTAGGCGGGGGTAGGCGTGGGTAGATAGTTGGCCCCCGCTCCGTGGGCGGCGCTGGAGGCATAGGCTGGGGGATTCAAGAAGGTTAGGTGCTTGTAGGGGAGGAATCCACTACAATACTCCCCTTCTCCTCCGGGCTCGGCGGGAGGCTGGAGGTTGGCAGAGTTGCGTGCCACATGTGAGGCAGAACGGGCGGTGCATGCCACATGTGGGACATAACGGCGAGGGCGTGGATGAGCCGGCCGCTAGGGGGGGGGGGGGTCTAGATACACGAGGTCTGTCTAGATAGGCACGAGTCTGTGGGAGAAAGAGCTGTGGGAGAAAAGAGAAGGAGGGTTGTGGAGGCGATGAATGTTGTGCTTCCCTCGTGACAGGTACAGAGTCCTCAGATGCGCCTGCTGGAGTGTGTGGGCCTGGGTCAGTAGCAGGGGCTGCGTTAGGAAGAGTGTCCATGACAGCAGCAGGGTCCATGACAGCAGCAGGGTCCACGACAGCAGCAGGGTGCAGGACAGTAACAAGGGGTAACTGAGGGAGAAAAGAGGGGTGTGTGGGTCCGCGTCAGGAGCAGGTGGCCGCGTCAGGAGGAGCGGCAGGGGGTACTGCTGGGCCGGGGGCGGCGTCTGAGGCAGGACGGGTGTGTTGGGGTCGGTAAGACGTGGTGCTTGGGGCAGGAGGAGGAGCGGCTGTCTGCTTAGAGTTGCAGAGCTGCTCTAGGGTGTTTAACCTGCGGTGTAGAGACAGTAGTTGTAGAGCCGATGAGAGCTGCCTCTGCGTGGGTAAGCCAGTCTTCCATGTTGCTTGAAGACTGGGAGAGTGGTCAGTTTCTCCTCCATCCTGTGTGAGTGCGAATCTCCGAGGGTCACCATTTGTAGGGTTATGAGATGTTGGTTCACACTCAGGATGGGATGGAGAAAGGAAACTCACAATGTGCTCACTGTATACATATTGTATTGGATGTACAATGCAGCTTGTTGCTGGGTAGGCAGCATGGTAACAAACGTTGAGTAGAGAGAGCTGGTTGGTGAGGGTGCCAGAGGAGGGCACGCGGCTTGAGGGACGCCAAGGTGGCGAGGATGCAGGAGCCACCAGGCTGGCACGGAGGAGGTGGTGTTGTTTGCTGGTGGCACTGTGTAGAAAGAGACTGGTCACAGCGGTGTCAGGCCTTATAAGGCGGGGGTAGGCGTGGGTAGACAGTTGACCCCCGCTCCGTGGGCGGCGCTGGAGGCATAGGCTGGGGGATTCGAGAAGGTTCGGCGCTTGTAGGGGAGGAATCCACTACAGACGTTTATTTTCCAGACAGTCCAGAAGGAAACCGGAGTACCCAAAGAAAAAACTGCCACGGTCACGTCTGTCACATTCGAGACGATGCCAGTTAAGTTTACTTAGGACTTAAGAGGCACTACTCGGTCGAATGTACAGTCTCGTTCAAGATTCTTAAAACACTGCTGGAGACAGCTGGCAACTCAAGGCCGTTTGTTTACTATAGTAAGTTAGGATAATATAATACGAAACAACGAAGCCCTACCACTAAATTAAGCAAAGGGGAACTAAGTAACCAATCGCCGATCAATTTTACATTTATTCAGAATTTTTACTATGTACTATAGGAAACAAACGGCCTTGACGCCTTGAGTTTCCAGCTGTCTCCAGCAGTGTTCAAAGAATCTTGGACGAGACTGTACATACCTGGAGCTGGCGGACGTCCGCCTCACAAGCGGTCACATCTCAAGGTTGAAGAAGCCACAAGTCCAGAAAACAGGTGAGGGTAAACTTTTTGGAGTGAGAGTTGTGTACTATTGGAACAATCTGCCAGAGAGTGTTGTGACGGTGTAGCAATTAAAGAGAAGTCTAGGTAAAAATGAAGTGTTTGCCCAACATATCATATGGCACTCCCGGCAGCATGCTCTGAGATTCCGTGGTGAGCAGAGCTAGTGAGTGGCGACTAATAGCATTATATTTGACTTCCATGCGTTTGGATGTATAATAATTCAATTAATTAATTGAGATGTTGGAAGTGAAAATGCAGTGAAGCCAGAAATATTATAAAACATAGATAATAAAGGGAAATAAATAAACACTAATCCAGCTCTGTATAATAGTTGTATAATAGGCTAGTAAACTCTGATAATACAATTAATTAATTTAGTTTTTTAAATTTAATTTACTGGTAAACATAAAAGTCCTTCAGTTTATTTTTTTAAAGTTAAATAGTAAATATGATTGTGTGCAGAATGAACCTGGTAGAGATGTGGTTATATGAGTGAGGAATTCTCTTATTTCTCTTGTAGACAATGTAAATTTCTTGAATGATCATTGGTATGATAAAGCGGTATGGTGCGAGATCATTATGAAAAGGAAAAATATACTAATTTGCTGCTGTGTATAGGGCTCCTTATACAAGTCGTGAGAAAAATCTTTTATTGAATTACTGTAGCGTTCGAGTATCCACTACATTACCTAACCAAGTTGTTTCCTTTCCTTGTGGGTGTAATATTAAATCTCCTTGTTTTGCTCTACTAAGATACTATTCCTGTTGTAAATATGTCTTCTCGTAGATGTTTGAACAATCCAAACATATTCTCCTACATATGTGGGTGCTTTGTTGTGCTGTAGCGTACTGTATGTGGCCAGTTGTCAATTCTCTTTGGTTGTCTATTATCTCATTGTATGGGCTCACAAACGTACGTACATGTAGATATCTCACACTCAGGAATGAGGTAGAATAGAAACTCACACTGCGTTTTCTGTATATATATTGTTGTACAGTGCAGTGCTAAGGAGTTACTAGGTGATGAGTAGTTTGCTCAGAGGTCCTGTTAGGCGAGGAGCTTTCTGAGGGAGCTGGTTGGTGAGGCACTGTAGAGAGGTCTTGCTGGTCCAGTAGGTCAGAGTAGAATGGTCTCCCTGATGATGATGATGATAATGAAGTAAAGTGGCAAATGACTTTGCACTGGGAAAGGAGAGGAGAGAGAGAGAGAAGTAAAGCGTGGAAACGGGAAGAAAAGTGGGAGGGGTAGATAGCAGGTGGGCTGTCCACCTAGCGGAGACGAGTTGAAATGATCGGGTGGTGGCCGCACGCAGCACACGCCCGACCGCTCAGGGAGGGAGGTTGAGGGGGGAGGGGGGATGGAAGCTAAGCTAGCTAGGTATTCATTATTGTAATGGGTGTTAATTTTTGTTTGTCCGATGGTGGTGTTATTTGTTCACATATATGTGTAAAGTGGGTCTTGTTCTGCTATGTCAGCATGGAGGCTCTTGGGCCACCAGCTGTGTGTTTTAGTAGTTCCTTCTTCTTTTAACTTGGAGAATAATGGGTCCTCCATCTCTTCAAGTTTGATCCATATTCTCTGTGCTTGGCTGTGTGTACGTATGTTCAGTGGTTCGATATTGTATAATTCGTGAAGTTCTTGTATTTTGGTGGTGTATGGCGGGAGTTGCTTTGATGCTTTACTGATAGCTTTGTTTTGTACTTGTCGTGGCCTAGCCGACCCCACCAATTCCCAATGTATGCCTCGTGGTCTGGAGTCCTTCAGCGCCGCCATACACCCATACAGGTGAGGTCAACTGCTAAGCCCGCCTACCCCCCTTCAGCCCCCAAGACCTGACCTCATGGTGATCTCTCTCTCTCTCTACCTACAGCGCAGCCAGCAACACCTCCTCCTCCGCCACTGCCTGGCGACGCCCCTCACTCCTCCGCCTGCTGAGTCCTCTCTCTCCATGGCGAGCATGGCGGCTCCCACAAAGCTGTCCCTTCTCTGGGCGTCCTCCCACCCAGCCCAGCTCTCTCTACATCACGCATAACCATGCTGCCTTCCCAGCACCAAAGCTGCGTATGCATCAATACAACATGTGTATAGAAACACATTGTGAGTTTCCTTTCTCCATTCCATCCTGGTGTGGACCAAACATCTCATACCCTGAAATATGGTGACTCCCTGATTCGCCTCTTTTTGGGATGGAGGAAGAAACCAATCATGCTCCCAGTCTTCAAGCAACATGGAAGACTGGCTTTATCCACACAAGCAGCTCTCCATCGACTCTACTAACTGCTGTTTCTACACCACCAGATTCTAGACACCCTAGAACAGCTCTGCGCTACTCTAAGCAACACCAGCTGCTCTTCCTGCCCCCAAGCACCGTCCCTACCATTGCTTACCGTCCTGCCTCAGACGCATAAACCCCATTCCTTAATAACCCCTGCCGCCCCTGACATGGCCTCTGTTCTAATTGCAAGACCCCACACTTTTCCCTCTT